CACGTGCTCTGCTCAGCCTGCCGGTTTCCGCGTAGGAGTTTCAGGGCTTGGGCATCCAGGCATTTGTGGGCGGGGGGAAGGGGGGGGGGGTCTTTCGAGTTCAGGACATGTCGGTTCAGAGGTCAGGGTCTCGGATCGAGGGGTTCCCCCACTGTATAAAGCAAAGAAAGCCAAGGCCTCAAGGCTCCAAGCACGAAGATCCCAAGGTGCGAGAAGGTGTACCAGTTCCTCGGGCCATGCTGCCCAGTGTGGCATTGGGCTTCCAGCTCCTGACTACGTTGCAGGCGCCTTTGAAGCTTCACGTCTTGTTACTCTGAAATTTAAGTCCGAAAGCAGTTCAAGACTAGTGTTCAGGAGACTTATGATGGTGATCACCATTGTCATGTCATGAAGAGGCTTTGGTTAGTGTTGCCCAGACACGACATCACCATTGCTCCCAATGCGTTTTCAGGGACTCGCGATTTGAGGGCCTCGCTGGGGATCAGGTGTATGAGGAGTCTTTGGAGAAGCAGGTCGTTTTAGATTTTGAGATTTGGGCTTGGACTTGTTGGACCTATGTCTTTCCACAGTTTAGGGTTTTCAAGCGCGTTGCTTGTAGATTGTTGTGTCGTGGTCCATGGTGAGGATGTGATTCCTACAGATGGCAGCAAGCCCATTGCTTTCGCTGAGTGATACGGGCAGGAAAAAGACGATCCGAGAAGAGTTCTCCCTAAACCCGAAACCCTAAACTCTAAACCCTAAACTCTAAACCCTAAACCCTAAACCCTGAGAGTGAGAACCATTTGGTGCTCTGGATCCCGGGGAGCTTGGGGTCTTTATCTGCCATCGGAAGAATCCTGCCATCGAGGGTTTCTGTCGGCCGTGTTGTCGGAAAGGTCCATAAGCGCAGGCCGCTTTATGCCACCATCATCCCACTTGCAGTTGACCCTTCCGTTTGTTATTCTAATCTTCGGTCTCTACCCTAAACCCTAAACCAATGTATGTAGCACCCTTCGCCAAAAAACCCTCAGTCCTGAGCTTGAGACTTGAAATTGCAAGAACCAGCAACCCCCCCCCCCCAGTTCCCAAATGTCCGAACCCCCGAGTCCTAAAGTGCAAAGGCTTCAAAGACCCCCGAGGGCCCATCGAGGCTGCCCTTTTTTGGAAGTTGCCATTGGCTCTGCCGGGCAGCACTAGCGGAGGCTATGAAGAGAAGATAAGGACAGCAAGGCAATCATCTGACGAGGAACAGAAACGCTGATCACCAGTGCGATGACGTAGATGTAGATGATCACCATCGTCCTACCGGTGTGCTCGGAGGGCAGCCAAAGCAAATAGTTATCACATACGCGAGGTCATCATCATCATGTTCGTCGCCATCATCATCAGCAGCACCATCATCACCATCAACATAACCACCAACATGACCGTCAAAGGCGGATCGGTCATCACATGAGAGGTAGATTCCGTGATCTTAGTCTTGGAGGCGCTGCCTACACGGAGGACAGTGCTCCGAACCATCAACACTGGAATATGTTAGATGCTTCTTCGTCGTGGGATGCCGAGAAGCGCTTCTAACCATGTAGCTCACACACTCAGACAATCATCTGACACAGACCCTGCAGCTGGGTCTCTCTGGTTGTTGCCATGGCGAGCAAGCTTCGGTGGCGTGTGGCGCTCTGGGTTTGTGCATGGCAAGCTGAACGTGCAGCTCGGTGCACAGCGTAATCGGCCCGGTGCATAGTTTAAACCGGTAGCTTTTGCAAGGGCAGGATATGTGCTGATGTCCAGGCAGTGTTTTTGGGTCCGAAGCTGGCTGATTGCCCAAGGTATTGGCAGACCTTGTTGTGGACACTGCCAATGGACCGGTTGCTTGGCTCATCGGCTTCTCACGGCTGGCCCTTCGGCAACCCCCTGGACCGAAGCTCAACAATTCAGCCGGCTTGAAGGAATACACAATTTCTGCATATGCTTAGCCTGAAGGCTAATCAGCTAATGGTGACACCTCGGCGGCGCCAGCCGAGCAACAGTCAGGGTACACTCAATAGTCACGGTGGTGGTGGTGGTGGTGGCGGTGGTGGTGGTGGTAGTAGTAGTGGTGACAACTCGTATCGGCATGAGTACCAGGTAGTCGTCACCCTAAACCCGAAACCCTAAGCTCTAAACCCTAAACCCCAAACCCTAAAGCAGCTGAGCGGCTTTGGCCCTGCTCCTCGCCCGGAGAAGGCTCTACCGAAGATCTTTGCATCCCCAGGTCCAGGGCGTGTACCGGGACGTTGCGGAGAAGACAGCTTCATGGTGAGATGCCGGGGTTTAGGGGTTTAGGGTTTAGGGGCAGAAAACACAAGGGATGAGGGTCTGTCATGTGTTGGGCGCGATATGTTTCAGATTCGAAGTGGTGGGAAGTTCGTATTAGAACTCTTTGCCGGGGGTTTTGGGTTCCGGAGCTTTCAGAATGTCATGGAGGCTTTTGGTGTTTGCACATGACATCGGCCAAGTTCAGGCCATAGGGCGGAGATTCACCGGCTTCGGCGATTGCCTGTGCCCTCAAACTCAACCTAGTTCAGCCGCGATCTCCAAGTTCCGGGTTAGGTGTAGTTACCCAAACCGTGGACAGTGACCAAGATTGCGTGCCTGAAACATGCTCCAGGTATTCGTGCTCGTCCATGACATGAGAGCTGAAGCCTAAACCCCTTGTATCTCGCAGCCCCAGAAGACTTAAGGGACTGCGGGAATGGTTGCTATGTCGACCCCGTCCTATAACTGCTACAATGGTATCATAATGATTTTCCTCAGAATGGTCACCCTAGTGGTGATTTTCATAAGAGCTTTGGAAGGTGGAGCCTTCCCTACGCTCAGCCACCGATCGAAGAGCGCCGTTTCCAGGCCGGCAAGTGCATTTGAAGCCCCAAGCTCTGAGGTCCAAGTGCCTAGGCCCCAAAACCCTTCTAAAGACCTTATTATAAGCTCTTATCTACGCGCAACGTTTGAAGCCCAGGAACGGCACTGAACAGCAGGTTTTAGAGGGAAGGTTTGGGGCAGGCTTTTGTCTTCTAGTAGAGGTAGGGATGGGAATGTGGGTGGTCGCGATGTTCGAGTTAAATAAGCAATGCCATTTTGTGACAGGTTTGTCCAGCCTTGATTTATCTTTGAATTCCCCGCACCCCGAAAGCTATTGGGTTACAACGTGCTTGACGGTATTCCTTCGGCTGAGCCCTTAAACCTTGTCGCTGTGAGCCCCCCAAACCCTACACCGCCTACCAGAAACTCTAAGGCCCCAAAACCCCCTGAGCCCAGAGGTATGAAAGCCCTAAAAGCCCTAAAAACCCCATCCTAAGCCCCAAGACCCTTAAAACGTTAGAACCCCAAGGCCCCCTCCGAAAGCTACCCCGTTGGGCCACGAGCTCAGGCGCCGCAGCCGTTCCTGGGATCTTGGAGCCTCGGAGTTTCCAAGAGTTCGGGTTCAGGGATTGGGGCTTTTAGGGGGTCGGGTTGCGGGTTTAGGGATTACATGGGGGGTGTTTTGACGCCTTGCAGTCATGGGGTAAGTTGAGGGCCAAGAGTTTCAATGTTCGTCGTTCTCGCCCGTTCGAAGGGAGATTGAATCATCAATCGTCAAACTCCCTGTGGCCGCAGGGGTCCATGGCCGTCCATGACGCAAAGAATTACTCCTACGCGTGGTTTTCTTTCTTCTCAGAGGGCCCTCATACCAACAAATATAGGGTTCTTATATGGCTCCTAAACCCTATACCTATACCCCTAACCCTATACCCTTAGGGTATCGGGATTAGGGTATAGAGGGGGCCTTATAAGCCAAGAGGGGTGTTTAAAACAACCCTCGCAGAGACGGGGGATGAGTCGCTTTTGCCCCAAAGCCTCAACTCCAAGAGACCCAGGACTGAGCCGCGCCAGGCCCTCCGGGATTCCTCAAAGGGTTCAGGATTATATAGTACGTATGACTATATGTATATATATATAGTATGTATGTATGTGTATGTATGTATATATATATAAGGTGAGGCACGGTTGCAGGTTCAGGCTTTCATACATTGCGGTTGCCTGGGTGTGTGCGCAATTCTTCCGAAGGCCGAAGACACATGTTGAAGAGCCTGCTCGTGTGGGTTTCGCGTGTTCGGTCCTGGGCACTAGCATTTTGCCATATTTTGCCGGTACACGAATGGCAGTAGTTTTCTTTCTACAATGGTGATGCTGATGATGAAAATCTTCACGAGTTTCTTGAAGGTTCTGTGGCGGGCTCTTGGAGGACAACGTACGTTTGAAAGTCAGGTGCTGTAGCCGGTAAGCTGGGCTGCTGGACCCTATCAACCCTAAACTGCACCACAAGCCCCGGAAACCCTCAACCCTAAACCCCACACTCTACGCCCCAAACCCTTATCGTGGCCTTGGGGTTGGACAGGCCACAAGGATACCGCCAGAGTGCACACAGTCGGCTGGACGGTCTGTCAGCGGCCAGGAGGATTGCCTCTACTTGAATGTGCCTTTCAAGCAGTATGGTTTCGGTTTAGGGGCCTGCACCCTGAACCCGCGAGGCCCTTGACCCTGAGCCCCCGAACCTTGAACCCTACACCCTAAACCTTACACTCATGTGTTTTTTTTTTCAAGCGTTCAGGGCTCAAGGCTTGGGGCTGAGGGACCAGGCTTAAAGGCTTTTTCGCTGAATAGGCTTTAGGATTTAGGGTGTTCTTGGTTACGGTTGATGATCCCATAATAAGGAATATACCATAATTGCCATAGTTTAGGGTCCTTAGGTAATGCAGGATATACATCATCAGCAGTATGGAAGACTAGTGGAGCGGTCTTCTTGCTGTCTTCGTCTTTGGTTACGACCGGTGAATGTGCAGAGATCCATGGCTCTCAGGCCCCCATGAGCACTACCAGGCTTCAAGGCTTTGGGGCTTCGGGCAGTGTGACGTGCTGCGTGGTGGTCGAAAGGTGCGACAGGTTCCTGCGAGAGTGTCAGAAACGAGACGTATTGTACGTTGTAGATTCTATTGACGATGATGCAATGCAACTCCGAGGTCCATGCCCCTGTGCCCGACAGAACGACATCCCGGCCCGTGCTCGTGTGGCTCTATGGTGGTGGCATCCCGACTGCAGGGCTTCGCTACAGAGGATGAGATGGAAGTGCGAGGGTTCGGAGCCGGGAGTTGTTTTTGAATTTGTGGTTTGCGGTTTTAGGGATGCAGAAGTGGGGTGGGGGGTCTAGAGAGAATCAGAGTCCTTCGCTTGGAACCAAGCCACGCAAAGTTGAAGAAGTGTCTAGATTCAGAGCGCCAAATCCCGGAAATACTTGCAGAGCAACTCGTCGCAATCCATTGTGACTCAAGCTCTTCGAACACCGAAGACAGAGCCCTTCTGAGAGTGCTTGGCTCGGGTTCAACACTGAGTAGTGGGTCTGTTAGTTTGCAGCATCTAACGGTGATGTTGATATTTGTTCATTTATTACCTGACCATCAGCACCACGGCCATGACCATCATGGTCAGAAACGCCTTCACCATCATCAGCAGCAGCATCATCATTGCAATCATGTCGATGTTTTTCACACCCTGGCCCGACAGACAAGGATTCTCAGTCGGCGATAGCTACTCCATGGGCCTTTACGACGGCCAGCACTTGGCCTGGAAGCACGAGGTGCCGGGGACTTTTGCGCACTTATGCTTCTTCGGAATTCGGGCAGTCGTTGTGACAGGTCGAGTATGCGATGAGCACGGTCCAGAATGACTAGTTCTACTATAACCGGAGGTCTTCCCCCCTCCCTGTGGCAAGTCGCAGAAGCCATAGCAATTTGACGCCCAACATGGATTCAGTTTCCTCATTAATCTGGACCCTATTTTGGGTTGTGTGTGCAATGGATGATTTAAGGGCAGGGGCTCAGTATGCCGCAATGAGGACGGACCGCGAGGGAGGTCTTACCATGACGATGCATGTCGTCATCTTACATCCCTGAGCCCAAAACCTTAGGGAACCCTGACCCCCTAAAGAAATCATCGTAGGTCTCGGTCCGGTCTAACCGCGAAGCCCTCAACCCTAAACCATGTCAAACCCTAAGCGCCCCCCTAAAAACCCTAAACCCCCTAAACCCTACCGTCAGGTCGTGGTGGTCACTCTGAATTATCGCCTCTGCGACCTCCGGCCGCGCTCAGCCTGGGTTGCTTTAGTAATTAGCAACACTATTCCCTGATTTAAGGTACTCTGGGGACTCTGATACAATCATAGTTGCTGCAGCCTCGGTCGTACATGTTATTTGGGGAGGTTCGGAAGCACAGCGAAATGACGATCATGGATAAGTGCTGCTGGTTTGTGAGTTTTACATTGTACTCTGTGTGTGCGGGGCTTTGCCACATGCTGCATCATGAATGGCGCGCTCCACACCGCAAGACGACCTTTCTCAACTAGTCAACCTGCAGGTGGAATGTGATCAAAGACAGAGAACCAACACAGGCTTCTCAATGCACAGCATCTAAATCTGAGGTGCGATGCATTCTATGTAATTTGTTTGCTGCAGAGTTATGCATATTGAAGGGCACAGCCGATAAGCCTGCATGACAGATGGTTCGGACAGAGGCCCAGGCTGCTGAAGTTGACATCTGCATCGTGCTATCTCCTGTACCGCCGCCTCCCCTCCTCCCCAGTCCACCTTCCCAGAATTCCCAGGCTCCGAAGCCTGAATCGATGTCACTGCACATCGCAAGGTCTTGGGCTTCATGGCCTTGGATGCACTGCAGAATGAGTCCTCCACTGGATCTACAGGGAACCATGCTCTCCAGGCATCCGATGTCAGCTGCCGTTGTAGGGATTAAGGGAGCCACTTCCCGGAGACTCCACTGTTTCACAGCTTCGATAGAGAGCATGCGATATTGTTGGTCTTAGGGTTTAGGTCTCTGGATATGCAAATTTCAGAGCTTTGGCCTCTCGCGAGACCCTGGGATGGCAATGAGCGTCTTTGAGTGGGGTTTAGGGTTTAGGGTTTAGGGTTTAGGGGGAGCTGCCACCCGGCCTTGGCCTCCAAAATAACTCACTCACTCTCACGCACAGGCTCTGAGGCGTCCAAACTGTCCATGTCTTGCAGCGACACCATTCAAGAATAACAGTAGCAACAACACTATAATCATGGTAACAGTGACAATACTAGCAATCATAAATAAGAGTCAGTTATCACATAATATAATGTTACTGTACTTCAACAAACCAAAAATACTACAATTTTAGACACCAAAGTAATGCACTTGAGTATACGATACTATGTTATTATGAAGGAAACCGAAGCCAAAGGGAACCGAAGCCAATACGCCTCAAGAGAGGATCAGCAGTTGGCGCTGCGCTGGGTGCCCTGGACAAACAAAAGAGTCCGGGAAACAGACTTCAAGAAGAAGAGGCGTGGGCAACACAGGGGGTGTTTAGGGGTTGTGTAGGGTTTCGTAGTCTCAATACTTATTGTACCTGTATTCGGGACTATATACGGCATAGTATGATTGATGATGATTCCGACGCAGACAGCCCTTCCAGTTGTAGATGTGCTCAATTTGCCGGCTGGTTTGGTGGTGCGTGGGACGGCCTTCTGCATGCCAGGAATATCGGCCTTCCCAAAGCCGGGACGTCGCCAACTTAAACCGAACCACCACCTCCCCGACATCCCCGCCCCTCCCGAAACCTTGATACCGAGCCCGGAGACTTGAACCTCAAACCAAAGAGAAGCTTCCATCCAAGGTCCAGGCGAACATTCGCAACTTCGGCGGGGACCCCGACCGTGTGACGCTCTTTGGGGAGAGTGCTGGCGCCTTCAGCGCCTTTTGGCTGACGAGTTGTTGAGGTGAGGGTTCCACATACTTGTCTTTATGATTGGACAAGGGCTTTAGGGGTATATTCTCATACAGTTCTGTAGAGACTACAACAGGACATCACGTTCTAACTACTCAGATCTGTATCTAAGGGATTGGGGTTTTGGAATCGGCGCAGGGTTTCTGTCATTTACCTTGCTTGCGGTTAGCCATTCGGGTATCGGTTTAGAAAGCTTTCTCGCATCAGCAGTAGCATCCGAAACAGTAAAACTGCGGCCTAAACCTCACACCCTTAAACGGCCAAGGAAACCCCAAGCCCGTGGCCGGTTGCCCCGCATCCGAAGCCCTGGGACATGGACTCTTAAACTTCTCAGAGCCACTTGCTGTCGAGGTGATGTGGCATCTGGTCAGCCAGAAATCTGCAGGAGACTTTGGCACAAACGGATCATGCAATATGGGGAGCTTCGGGTGTGGAGTCTAAGTCCCACACCCGAGTTCTGGGATCTTTCGGTGTTGTTAGAGCCAGGGCGGTTTCCAAGCGAGGGACTCCTGAGCTGGCAAGGCCCGAGCCGTGGCTTTGCCTTCCATAGATACTCTTGAACGTCGTCGCAGTCGTAGTCGTCGTCGTCGTCGTAGTAGTCGTAGTAGTAGCAGTAGTAGTAGGGCGGTAGTAGTAGTAGTAGTAGTAGTAGTAGTCGTGGTGGTGGTCGTGTTGGTGGTGGTGGTGGTGGTGCTTGTGGTGCTGGTGGTGG